GCCGCCGCCGCCGCCGCCGCCGAAGCCACGCGTCCGCGGCCCGAAGCCGCCCTTGCTGCCCTGGCTGCCGCCGTCGCCCCCCTTGCCCCCGCCGCCTCGGCCCCCGCCCCAGCCTCCGCCCCAGCTCCCGCCCCCGCGGGAGCTCGCCGCAGACTTCATCTGGTGGGTCGGTTGTCAGGGGTTACCGGTTGCTGGGGACGGTTGTCAAGGGTTACTGTCGCTAGGGCGGTTGTCAGGGGTCGCCGGTGGCGCTGAGCAGGTGTCCGGGGTCGCTGGTGACTCCAGGTGGTTTTCCTGGCGGGGGACAAAGGTTAATGAGCGGTTGTGGGCCCGATTAGCAGCAGCTGGGCCAGGGAGGGCGGCGGTCGGGTCCAGCTCTGGCGCAGTCCCCGCGTCCCCGGAGCCGCCCTCTGGCGCGGACTGGCGTGATTGCATCACACCCGTTTTGGCGACCCTGCGGCCCGGAAGCCCCCCTTCTCACCCTGCGCGCAGACGCAGCTGCTCATCTGTAACCCTTCGCCTTCTCCCTTCCCCATTTTCTGCTTTCTCAAGGACCCCTGGTCCCGCGGGCGCCCGGCAGTCTCCAAGGCACAGGACGCAAACCTGGGGTCCAGTCCTGGCCACCTGCTTGCTGTCTAGTCTCGGGAAGCTTACCTGACTCTGTCCCCGAGAATCTTGTTTGAAATGGGGCAAGTTTTTGAACTAAGTCTCATCATCCTGCATGTAAAATAGAACCTATCGCAAAGGTTTGTTGTGGATCTCTTACTCTTACCCCAGCCATGGCACATGCTAAATGTTCTGTTAGCGATAGCTTTCTTGTTTCGATTTTCATGTGTTTCTTTTGATCAATCCTTTTATTAACGTGTATTTCACATACAATAAAATGCACCACATTTTTGTTTTGATGTAGATATTCTGACAAGGCACTTAACATAGCTATATTTTCACCTAGCTACTCCACTCTGAAAAGGTTTTTTGCGTTTTTTTCTTTTTGGCTCAGAAGTCTTGGAGTTTAAACCCAGAGCCTTGCACACGCAAGGCAAGTGGTCTACCACTGAGCCACAGCCCTAGCCCTTTAAAAAAATCTTATTTTGAGCCAGGCATGATGGCATACGGAGGATCGTCTGGAGTTCAAAGCCAGCCTAGACTACATAGTGAGTTCAAGGCCAGCCTGAACTACATAGCAAGACCCTGTCTCAGATTTTGTTTTCTTTTATTTTGAGACAAACTCTCTCTAAGTTGCCCAGGCTGGCCTCTACTTGTTATATATCCCAGGTCGACTTTAAACTCACAATCCTACTGCCTCAGTCTCCCAAGTGCTGGGATTATAGTTGTGCACTACTACAGTCAGCTACTTTGAAAGTCTTATCTTAAAGAGATGCAAGAAATGAGACCAAATAGAACCACCAGAGAGAGAAGGTTATGGTAGAGGTAGTGATGATGATTATCGTCACAGAAGTGGCAGAGGAGGTGAAAAAGTGGATTAATCCAAGAGATCTTTAGAAGATAGCATTCAGGGGACTCCCTGAATCAGAAAGAAGAAGATTTAAAGACAGGGCTGGCCAAAATATCGCGCCTCCTCTGCTGCGGATAATAGCCTTCGAGCGCCAGATGCAGTTGCTTTCTGTTTGGCTCTGCTGGGTTCTGTTAGCTGTGCTAAGTTCCAGGAACTGTTCTGGGAATATTGATCAATAAGAAGGTGTTGACTCATGGGTGCAAATGGGGATGTACATGCCACCGCTCTAAATCCTGGAAGACATTTCATTAGGAGCCACGGTGTCAAATATATCCTGAATCTCTCTCTCTCTCTCTCTCTCTCTCTCTCTCTCTCTCTCTCTCTCTCTCTCTCCGTCCCTCCCTCCCTCTCCCTCTCTCTTTCTCTCTCCCCTTCTCTCCCCCCCCGTCTTTATCGCTCTTTCTCGACAGCACCAAGGACAGCAACAAACCGGCCAACACACGGCTTTAGTGTCAGCACCACGGACAGCCACAAAATGGGTGCCGTTTTCACTACTGGTGGCAGTTTTGGGGGCCAAGCCGAGAGCTCGGCCTGTGGGTACGTGGTGTAAGCAACTGGGTGAGCTCCTTAATAATGGAGCTAAGTGTCTGTTTCAAAGAGACAAACAGTACCTGAAGATCAGGGTACATGTGGGGCAGAGCATGCTGAATGCTCCATATGTACACATATTAAAAGCTTTTCTTCCATCTTGGTCTTCAATTCTCTCTGTCTTACATTCATCAACAAAAATACCAGCTCTGGTTGTCCTTGAAGACTACAATGCCTCTTCAATAGGGGCCAGAAGTCTTCAGACAAGGTGACTGAGGATGAAATGTATAGTTCCTTCAATGAGTGGTTCATAAAAAATTCTTTACTAGAGGTTTCCACTCTCACTACAAATTGAGGTAAATTTTTCAAAAAGATGAGCTATGCTTGTTGTCTTGGTTTGGATTTTCCCCCAAAATCAGACCTTGTGATGTTAATTTTATGTGTCAACTTGACTGGGCCATGGATTTCCCAGATATTTGGTTGAATATTATTATTCTGGATGTTTCCGTGAGGGTGTTTTGATTGAGATTAACATTAAATTGGTAGGCTGAGTAAAGCAGGTTGCTCTTCATTATGCTTGGTGAACCTCATCTAATCAATTGAAGGCTTGAATAAGATAAAGGGTTAACCCTCCCCGTGGAAGAGAGAATTCTCCTACCTAACAAGCTTTGAACTGGCCTATCAGCTATTCATGCCTGACAACCATTGAAAAGGGACAGTGGCTTTGCGTGATCCTATATGTATCCTGCAAGTTCTGTTTCTCTGGACAACCCTAATACACCCTGACAAAAGGATTTCGCTCTAGGTGACTTATCTGGGAAGTAAGCTCAGGAAGCACTCGGGGGGGGGGGGGATGAGAAAGATTATGTAGAAAGGGTGCATTAAACAGAAGAATACAACAGTGGGTAATTGGTGCTCAGTTGTTCCTCTCAGGAACTGTGTGGAAATCAACTCAGAACTGCTCTCCTGCAGGCCAGGAGGCTGGAGAATTAACCCATTATTCCTTCCCTTGGTGTCATCAGTTGTTGCTGAGGCACTAACTCCCTTGCCCTTCAAATTGTTCTCATGAATGATCCAGCAACTCCCCCTGATGTTGCAGTGACCACATAGACTAAGAACAGGCACTTAAGGTGAAAAAACCACCATTGTGCTGGAAATTGTTTATCACTGCTGCAGGTGAGCTCATTGTGGGCATAGGGAATATGGAGCAAGGCATCAATGGTGCCTGCCAGAATTTGAACACTTATATATAACCAGAATTTTGTAACTTAGAAAATCTGAATAAGCAGGACTTCCAGGAAGATGGCAGAGTGGTAAACAGCAATAAATAAGCTTCCCCAAGATTCAGAATCCAGACATTGGAAAATAACAACTTGGGGAAGAAAAGGATAGAGGTGGATCCCCAGAACCCAGGAAGAAGCTGAAGAGAAAATTGGACCCCACAGAGAAAGTGAAAAGACAGACCTCAATGCAGAAAAAGGAGGGGGCAATCTGTACTTTCTCCCAAAATCCTGGCTCATTGTGTAAGAGAGGAAAATTGAATCTATAGAGACAGTGAGAGTGGGTGACTGACTCCAGAGGCCTCCAGAAAGAAACGTACCAGTGGATGCTGGGTGCTACAACAGCTTGTGAGTGACTCCAGTCCAAGTGACTGCTATGCCTCCTGGAGAGGGTGCTTGGCTGGATGCCATTTTAGTGAAGGGCCAACCGAACCTAGGACTCAGAGCAGCCATGGGTTGGCTTTGTCTCAGGACTTTCAATGTTGAAATCTCACAGTGAGCGGGTGAAGGAAAGTCAGGCTGGCAAGAGACACCCAAAGTGTTGTAGGCTGAATGACACTGGCCTAACCCCACAATCATAGGCCAGGATCAGCCTGAACTTCTGTGGGTGGAACTGAAGGCAACAGAACTGGCAGCTCACTCTAATCCCACTGTAGACTTACTGGGATCATGCAGCACAGATCTGGGCTCTGTCTGCCTCCTTTGTCTACCAGTGACAGCAGAGACATGCTCTAAATTGGACACTGCCACAAAATTGTGGACCCCAAAGATAACCATAGGCTTGAAATCACAGAGAAATTTCTTTCTTTGCTTTTGGTTTCTTTTCCTTCTTTTTTTCTTGATTGTTTGTCTTTGTTTTCTCATGAGTGTGAACATTATTTTTAGGTTTTTTTGGTTTTGTTCTTTTTGTTTTTTCCTTCTTTCTTTCCCTCCTGTCTTCTTCACCAGTGTCCCAAAGCTTGGGTAAACATCTTTTGTCCTTCAGCCTTACTTCTAATCTCTTTCCCTTCTTTAATTTCTCTATTGTTTCCTTTTACCCCTTTAAAATTTTCCCCTTGGAGGATGAAATTGCTGTACTGAATGGATATTTACTATATATGTTTCTGACTTGCTTTAGATTGTGTTATATAACTGTAAATCTTGTACCTATGGTTAAAGTTGGCAAGTTAACAGTTATCATTGTCATTTTCTAGGCTGCACTTAATGCTCTTGTTATTGATTGCACTACTTTAGCCAAGGTGGCATAGTTGTTGTAATCAGCTGTTCTTCCTTGTATGCCAATACCAAGATTGTCTGGGGATCACAAACAATACCCTAAAAAAATACCATAGTAGAGTACCAAAAAGAACTGGGTGCTAGGCCAAACAGGCAGCAACATCTGATCTCCAATAAACTGAAGAGGCAGGATCTTGGGACAGATTCAAAAGCCAAAAGCCAGTAACACCTTGAAAGAATCTCTGAAAAGTAGTCATTTCCTAAAGAGATCCCAGAACTAGTAATAAAGCTACCTACCATAAGCAATTTATAAGCATCCACAGAGAAAACAAATTTTAAGAATAGAAAATGAGAAAACACGGAAGCAAGATGCAACCCCAGAGCTCCAGCTTACCCAAGGCAAATCCAGGGGGCATTTAGGTGGAAGAAATCAAAAGCCACCTAGCTGAACTTTCTGAAAAGGTAGCAGTGGAACTAACACAGCAGATGAATGAGTCTCTAGAAAAACACAAAACAGATAATTATTACCCAGATAACTAAAGAGAGAATGACTGTAATGAAGGACATGGTTAGTGAAACTAGAACAGATACAGATTTTTTTAAAAATAGAGATGCTTAAGAAAATGGTGAAAACCATGAATGCCCAACATAGGACAGAACTGGATTCCATAAAATAGATCCAAACAGATATCCAGAAGATTAAAAATTCTATTGAACATTTATGCAGCAGAATCAACCATTGTGAAGATAGACTATCAGATCTAGAAGACAGGCTTGTGGTTAGTGATCATCAAATAAAAAGACTTCTTAAAAATAGCAAGGGACTGAAAAAAATATTAAAGGACCATGAAAAATCAATCTGACAGCTGCTAGATGATGCAAAGAAGAATAATGTAAGATTAATCAGAATCAACAAAAAATCAGAAGATAGCACAAAGAACATTAAAGAAAAGCCTGTTCACAGCATGGAAAAAGAATTTGACATACAGATAACTGAGGCATATAGAATTCCAATTAACCATGATAAGAAAAAAAACTACACCAGGGCATACAATAGTCAAGATGCCAGAAATTCAACATAAGAACAGAATCTGAAAAGCTGTTAGAGAAAAGAAACAAATCACCTATAAAAGCAAACCCGGGGCTGGGGATTTAGCTCAGTGGTTTCGCCACCTGCTGCACAAGCGCAAGGACCCGAGTTCGATCCCCGGTACCAAAAAAAAAAAAGAAAGAAAGAAAAAAAGAACCTTCTCCATTATAGCTCCAGACTACTGGACAGGGATTCAAATCCTAGAGCAAGGGATCTGCCAAACTTCTACCTAAAATAGCTGCAAGCATTCTGTTCACCACTCCAAGTACAAGCCCTAGTAGAGGTCACTTATGACCCAGTCTGACCTTTCTCATCACCTTCAGTAACATTGTCGTTACTCTCCTTCACCACAGTGTACATCTCTCAAGCCCTGTCCATAACTCTGAAATGGACTGAGACGGCCTTTCTAATATACCTGTAGTTCATTTCAGAACTGATACTCTCAAGGATGTCATGCATCCCTTTGCTGTCCATTAGGTGGAATTTATTGGGAGGGGTGGCTAGTGGTTATAAACTCTTAATCCAGTAGGCAGTATCTTCATGAACTTAGTTTTTTTCCTTTTGAGAGTAATTATTATAAAATAGGGCCAACTTGCTGGAGCAAGTAATTTTTCCAGATATCTTCTCGTTGCTGTCTCTACCCGTGTATCCATTTCATCGTGTCACACATGTCGTTTTCAACAATCTCCTAAGGGTTCCAGAACCACTGTCCCACAAGGTATGGAAGATTAAGGTGGCTTTCTCAGACTTTTTCCCACTGCCTCATTGCTGATGATAACCTTGGAACCAATGCAAACCAATCCTGCAATCTTGCTTCTGACCACAGGCATCCTTTCCCATGGTCGTGTTGGATGACTCCCCAGAGGCGTTTTCTGGCTTTGATTCGGAGGACCATTTTTGGCAAAGGCATTTGTTACAGTCTGTCTCCTAGGATGTTACAGCTTGGGAGCATGCAAAATCAGCAAGACTTTAAGTCCAGTTGAATATGTTCTACGCATCTTGTGAATGCTCCCAGGGTAGGGACTCAGGCCAAATATTGATATGATAAGTGGATTGAAGTGTCGAAAACATTCTTTCACTAAAGTTTTCCTCTGGGTCCACTATAACATGGAAATCTGTCTCATTCTCAAAGGATTTTTAATCAGTGGATCCCATCTCCTGAAGATATTTCCTTAAAGAGATAAACTGGCATTATGATCCACACAGCTCCCTCTAATAGCCCTTAAGAACAACTATAATCCCTTATACTTTTCTGTACAGTTGTCTTGCTGTTCATTGTAATGTGCTCTGTAGTGATGGTCGTAATTACACCCACGCCTCAGCAGATAACATGAAGTACATGAATCCTAGCCAGACTTAAAACCATGCCTGAAGAACTTTGTTCGATTTTTTTTCATGTATTGTTCCAGCAAATTTCCCAAGGAGTGACTACCCGTGATTTAGGTAAAAGCCAGCAGAAAAGCTGTGTAACCTATCTCCACACTCATTAGAACTTACAGCATTCATATCCAAGGAGGCTTCCCCTACCTTTTATTTATTTTGCTTTTGTCTTTGTTTTGTGGTGCTGGGAATTGAACCAGGGAGCACTAAGCTAAATCCTTGGCCTTTTTTGTTTTATTTTGATTCAATGTCT